CATTTCGTAGACAACTTACTATTTCTATGAAGTAGTTTGTAAGGTAGTGTGTGTGTGTGTGTGTGTGTGTGTGTGTGTGTGTGGTTAAAAACAAATGTCAAAACCTCAAAAGTTGTCGCAAAATGGAATTGTTCTCTTGCCTGCTCGAGGGCTCAAATGTATTTCCAGTAAGTAAATTCCTGAATAGAGGACCTGCTACAATAAATACCTTGCTTCCAATTTCCTTGAGCTTTAATGTGGGTAAGACAGTCTGTATTCTCAAGATGCAATAATATGCTGTATTGAATCGTGGACTATATCACCTATCCTGTTGTCAGGGCCGGCTCCAGGCACCAGTGAAGGAAGCAGGTGCTTGGGGCGGCCAATGGAAAGGGGCGGCATGTCCGGGAATTCGGCGGCGGGCCCCTCAGTCCCTGGGAGCGAAGGACCCGCCGCTGAATTGCCACAGAAGAATGAAGCGGTGCGATTGAGCTGCTGCAGAAGTGCCGCCGATCGGCTTTCTTCCCCCTCCCCCCCCCCACTTCGCCTCCTAGGACGGCAAAAAAGCTGGAGCCAGCCCTGCCTGTTGTAACCCCCTAACCAGTCCTGTCATTCTAAAATTAGGGCAAATGGCAATTCTGCTACCCTGCATGCAGTAATTGAGTGCACTCTGTTATTTGCTAATTGATCATATTGTTTTTGTTTAAAAATGTTGTCAAATATTAAAAAGTCTGCAAACAAAAGTTTCTGAAATTTAACTCTGACTTTAAAACTCTGAGTTGATTCTTGGATTATATGTGAAATCATGAAATCAGCAAAATCAAAAATTGCCATAGAATTCATTGTAATGATCTTTTAAATTGCAAGACCCATTAAGAGTGACATATTGGAATACCACAGTAGTTTCATCATGGAAAATGTTTAGCTATCTGGAGGTAAGGAGTTATTTTTGGCACACAGTGTGCTAATAAAATTGACAGACTTTGCAAGAGAACATTTGGCTTTTACATACATCCTTGATTCAGGGTATATTTAAAAAAAAAAAGACTTTGTGGGGAAGTCCTAAGTATTTGCATTGGGATCTTAGTGGGCCCCAGGACTGAGTGGCTCAAAAATTCCTCTGGTTACAATACAGTTCATTTATTAGACATGCAGGCTCTGGTTATGTGAGGGGCATGAAATTGAGTCAAGGTTGCCAATACATATTTGAAAGATAGCTGCTCCAGATGGCTTTAATTGTAAAAGATTTTATTCTTTTGTGGTCATCCCTAGCAACCCGACTTCAAGGGAAAGTGAAGGTATGTGAACCTGCAGTGGGGAAAACCACTACAATGCATTTGATGCCTTTGCTCATAGGGAGCATGCCATGGGATTGCTTTCCAGTACAGGACAAATGGAACTTAAATATTATGGGTCGCTCCTCTGCTCAGTTTCCTTTGAAATAGTCAGATGGAGATTTCAAAGGAACAAGATTTTGTGCCCTCATCTCATTCGTTATCAAGCCTCTGCTTTCTGATGCCATTGGGGAATAACTGTATTTGCACTTTTTAATGGAAAGAGTAAATCCTGGTTGTTTATGCTTGGGATATTGGTAGACTGAGTGGTAAACATTTTAAAAATGAAGAAGTGGGAGAAATTCCTTTTTGCCTGAAATGTTTCAGGCCAGAAGTGAATTTTGTTAAGAAGTTTGAAATGCCAAGCTGCATTTGTCATAAAGCCATGAAGATGTAACTTTGCGGGACTACTTTGGGAAGTCAGGGCTTAAAGGCATTGTCTAAAACTTCTCTAACACTTAATACGTCCCTGAGAACTAGTGCATAGACCTTTTATGTAATTATTTGTAGAGCTAGTTTTCAAGTTGAATTTGCAAACGGATTGGTTCTGTACCTTTTTCTACAGTGATTGATAGAATTTGCATTAACCTTGTGTATAACTGAATGCCAGCAAATTTGGGGAACAGACTCAGTTTTCCACAACTGTCCAATTTATAGTATATACCACACTTCGGCCCTACTGTTAGAGACATTCTCTGCCATCCTGGAGGAAAGTTCTAGACAACTTTGTGTTAATGATTCCACTTAGTGGAATTGCAGAGGTGATGGAATAAAAGTGCCTTCCAGGAAGTGAAATCTGAGTTCCTTCACTCCACCCTCAGTTTTTGCTTTTACATGACAGAAGCAGGTAATCTTAATTTCTGCCATCCCTCGTCTCCAAAGAATCACGAGGAAAAATTTTTACAAAGAGGAAGAGAGAAAAGC